ATATACACACACACATATATATATATATACAAGTTGAGTGGCTAACAAGAGAGAAAAGAAAAAGTGGTTTTCATTCTCTCTCCTTGACGACATCATCATCAACATCAATAATTTCGTCCTTTTATTAGGAAAGTTTAAATTATTATTGAATTATCTTGTAATTAATTTTATTAAAAGTAGATTTAATTCCGAGCTTGATCCTAATTTTTTCTTTCACATTGAAGGTTTTTTCACATACATTCTTGTGTCTACTCAATTATGCATCAATTTAAGATTGACTTAATTTATATAATTAATTTTATCTTTGTTCGGGATACAACAAGTGGTATCAGAACTTGATTGATTGCTTTGTTGATATATTTGTGGTATGAGATTAATTGTGTGAATTACGATGAAGAAATTTGTTGGTACTATGATAAAATTATATTCTTTAAATTATTCAATTTGGAAGTCAAAGATGGAAGATCTTCTTTATTATAAGAATTTATATGATCTGATTAAGTTATGAACTTCTAAGCTAATGGAAAAATCAGATAATGATTGGGAGAAGATGCATAGAAAGACTGTAGGAACTATCTGACAGCGGGTGAATAATAGTGTCTAACATTACATAAATAAAGATGTAAATGCACAAGTTTTGTGAAATAAATTAAAAAATATGTATGAGAGTAAAAATGCTCGGAATAAGACTTTTATTATTAGAAAGCTTGTAAATCTGAAGCTGAGAGATGGATAATCACTTGCAGAACACTTGAGTAAATTTTAAGAGTTAGTAAATGAGTTAAATACAATGAAAATAATTTTAGATGATGAATTGCATGCATTATTGCTCTTAAGCTTTTTACCAGACAGTTAGAAAGCCTTAGTAGTGTCTCTTACCAATTTTACTCCAAATGGTATTTTGTCTTTACCTGTGATAATAGATAGTCTGCACAATGAAGAGACTAGAAGAAAAGATATAGATATTGAGACTTCACAGACACTTGTTATAACAATAGAGAGCATGAGTAGAAGTAAAAGTAGAGGTCCTAAGGGGTGCTATAAATCTAGAGGTAAATCACAGATGAAAGGTAAGTTTAGTTGTTATCATTGTGATAAAGAGGGACATATGAAAAGAAATTACAGAATTTGAAAAAAAGAACATAATAGTGAAAAAAAATCAGAAAAAGACAAATGATCAGAATACTACCGCAATTGTAGCTAATGACGGTAAATAACTGGTTATACTTTTATTTATTGAGGATCATAGCTGCATCACTGATTTTGATACTGAGTGAGTTGTTGATTCTGTAGTATCCTATCATGGTATACCCAGAAGAGATGTCTTTACAATGTACAAAGCAAAAAATTTTGGTAGAGTGAAGATAGGTAATGTCAGCTACGCATATATTATGGGTATTGGTGATATTTGTGTGCAGACAGATGTTGGTTGCACATTGACTCTGAAAAACGTGCAACATGTACCAGATTTACGTCTTAATCTTATTTTTATAAATATGATTGATTTAAATTGTTATTACAATCTATTTGATGGTAGAAAATAAAAACTCACTAAATGTTCAATTGTAGTTGCTAGAGGCAAATTGTGTTATATATTTTACAAAACTCAGATGAATACTATTAGAGGTGCACTGAAAGCAGCTGAAGATGATATTTCACCAGACTTGTGGCATAAGAGGTTGGCTCACATGAGTGAGAAGGGGTTGCAGATTTTGACAAAGAAATCCCTTATTCCCTCTGCAAAAGGTATGAGTTTAAATCCTTGTGACTATTGTGTGTATAGTAAACAACATAGAATTTCTTTTACTAGCTCATCTGAGAAAAAAAAAAAGAATGTTCTTGAATTAGCTTACTATGATGTGTTTGGTCCTATTGATGTGGAAACTTTAGGAGGTAGCAAATATTTTCTTATTTTTATTGATGATGCTTCACGAAAAGTTTAGGTGTTTGTATTGAAAACAAAAGACCAGATTCTTTAGTATTTTAAGCAATTTCATGATATGGTGAAAAAAGAGAAAGAACTTCCTTAAAGTATCTTCATAATGACAATGGTGGTGAATACACTTCAAAAGAGTTTGAGAATTACTGCCTACAACATAGAATTAGACATGAGAAGACAGTATTTGGTACTCCTTAACATAATGGTGTAGCTGAAAGAACAAATAGGACTGTCATTGAAAAGGTCATATGCACGTTAAAAATAGCTAATTTACTAAAACCATTTGAGGGTGAAGCACTCTACATTGCATGCTACTTGATGAATCAATCTTCATAAGCTCATTTAGATTTTGATATTTCTCAGAGAGTATGATTTGGGAAGGACGTCATATATTCTTATTTGAAGGTATTTAGCTACAAGATATTTATACATGTACCTACTAAGTAGAGACAAAAGTTTGATGATATGACAGTTTCATATTTTTCTGGGTTATGGAGATATAGAGTATATATTATGGGATCCAGTGAAGAAAAAAATCGTTAGGTTCAAAGATGCGATTTTTAATGAGCCCAAGACCTTATTAGACTTTGAGACATCATAGAAGATTATAAGTGAAGATATTTCTCTTCCTGCACTAGTTTCTCCTTCAATCAGAGATGTCATAGATGAGGGAGAGTTACATGATGACTAAGGGTTTGATAATATGTCAGCACCATATTATATTGAGCAGGGGGAGCAGCCCCTTGTATCCTAAGTTACAGAAGAACCTCAGCTTAGAAGATCAACTAGAATATATCATCCATCTACTAGATACTCCCAATTCTGAGTATATTATAGTTACTGAAGAGGAGGAGCCATAAAGCTTTCAATAAGTTTAGAACCATCAAGAAAAGGCTCAGTGGTTGAAAGCAACAAAAGAAGAGATGAGCTCTTTGAAAAAGAATAATTCCTATGAGTTAGTTGAACTTCCAAAAGGTAGAAAAGCTTTGAAAAATAAGTGGGTATACAAGCTTAAGATGGACGATGAGAAGTTAGTGAAATATAAGGCTTGTTTGGTAGTAAAGGGTTTTAATTAGAAGAAATGAATTGACTTTGATTAGATATTTTCTCATGTTGTGAAGATGAGCTCTATTCTGGTAATTCTTGATTTAACTACTAGTTTAGATCTTGAGCTGGAACAACTAGATATAAAAACAACATTCTTTCATTGTGATTTGGAAGAAGAAATCTATATGGATAAACTAGAGGATTTTGAAATCAAAGGGAAAGAACACATGGTTTACATGTTAAAAAAGAGTTATGGATTGAAATAGGCTTCGAGACAGTGGTACAAGAAATTTGATTCTTTTATGGTCAATCATGGCTACACCAGAACAGATGTAGATCATTGTGTGTACTTCAGAACATTCCCATATGGTAAGTTTGTCATTTTGTTGCTTTATGTTGATAATATATTGATAATAAGATAAGACACAATAGAGATTAGTAGTTTTAAAAAAAGAATTATTTGGCTCTTTTAACATGAAAGATTTAGGATTAGCAAGTCAGGTTTTGGGTATGCAAATTACTCATGATAGGAAAACTAAAAAATTATGGTTGTCACAAGAAAGGTATGTTAAGCAGGTTCTAAACAGATTTCATATGAAGAATGCTAAACCGGTTAGCACACGACTTGCTAATCACTTAACACTTAGCAAAAAATTATGTCTTGTTACTCAAGAAGAAAAAGAAGAAATGTCGATTGTTCCTTACTCTTCTATAATTGGGAGTTTGATGTATGCTATGGTTTGCACTCGATCAGATATTGCTCATGCTATTGGTTTGGCAAGCAGATTCCTTTCTAATCCTGATAAGAGTCATTGTGAAGCAGTAAAATGGATTTTCAGATATTTGAGAGGTACTTCTAAGATGTGCTTGTATTTTGGAGGTTCAGAACCAATTCTAAAGGGATATGCATATGCATATATGATAGATGACATTGATAACATGAAGTCTACTTCAGGATATATGTTTACATTTTCTAAATTGTAAAAATGTATTGTCTAATCTACAATTGATGCAGAGTATATAGTTTTGACTGAAACAGGTAAAAAAATGCTTTAGATAAAAAGATTTC